CCAACCGGGTTTCGCGTAAAGACCTCATATCCAGCCCTTTATAACTGCTCACGGTCAGGAAGATCACCCCCACCTCGTTCGGGATTTTATCCAGCACCAACGTCAACACCTCATCACTGAGCTCGCGTTCTACCGTGTAGTGAACGAGCCGCCCGTTTTCCTCGTAGGCATCCCCGCCATGCACGTTGAGGTGATCAATCGCCGCTTGAATCCCCCGCAACTCCTCTTCGGCGTATAATCGACTGAAAAGATGCTCCATCGTGAGGGCGGCGGGATGTTTACCGGCGGGATGCCCGAAAAGACCCTTTCGACGTCGTTTTTCGAGTTTATCGATCGACATTCGATGCTCTTCCTCGCCGCCGATCTGGCTATCCCCGCTAAGAAACATATACGGCAAACGATTCGAATCCACTCTCTGAGTGGTGTTGAGTTCTTTTTCATCGACCCCGTGCGGGAGGAGGTGGTTGAAGAAGACGACGTCAAGGAATTGCCCTTCGCGGGAGAAGCAAACCGCGCTGAGGTCGAGATCCACCGGCGCCGCGCCGACGAACTCCCAGCGGAGGCCTACCGATAAAATGATGCCTCGTGGTAGCTGAAACACCTGTTGACGGAGATCCGACAGCATCGCTCGATGAGATTTCTAAATGCAAAAAAAAAAGGGGGAATCAAATTATAAGGAAACCTAAGAAAAAAAAATACGACAATGTGGTGGATGGCGGATCTACCGGTAGTAGAATCGTCGGCACCCGCGTTTCTTGCGTGTGCGTGTTTCCTTCACCAAAGACCCTCCCCGTAGAAGGGAAAGGAGGATGAAACACAATGCGTAAACTAATGTAGGCGTGAAAGGGATAAAAAACGGAGATGTATGTAACTGCAAATTAAGAAAAGATACGGTAGCTTCATTATTTTTAATAATAAGGTGATATAACATATGGACACTGCAATTTAGAGATGCACTCATTCGTTTGCTCTTTGACAGTGAGCTGAATATTTCGTAAATTACGCTGTAGCAGCTTTTTGATTATTATTTTTTTGAATGAGTTTGATTTCACAGGCTATATCCGTCAACAATACCCGCTATCAGCATTCGTATGATTTCTGCAGCGCTTACACATAAATTACCAATCTAACACGTACAAATTTGCAAGAGGTCGAAATTTCATTAGAATTTTTTACCCCAAGAAGCGATTCATTGGCATAAACCAGATAGGCAACAGATACACTCTCCAACGTAAATGCAATGCCGAATTTTCATGCAGACCATGTTGACTGTTAAAACTCTTCAAAATCGTCATCGCGAGGTTCTTTTTACTCCTCCTTCTTAGCCTCAACCATCTTCTATCCCGTGGTACTAACGTAGAGCTCCTCCTCGAAATGGTTGATTTCACCTTAACCCGACTCATTTGCGTGCTTCCTATCACTGCAGCTTCAAGAACCCCTATAACGACTTTTTACAGTCTGGCATTGGTATGGAAAGATAAGAGAAAAACACTTTGAAAAAACTGAAGAAGAGCTGAAAACGTCTTCAAGTGTGAATGCCGAGCGCGTCGAAGTAAAATACCCATGGAGAGCATCTCAACCCACACAACATTACCCTTTAGAAATTGCCTCCTCTGCACACGGGAGGCGTATGCCGAAGTACTTCCCATCATATAATCCACAATAGCAGATCATTTCTTGCAGGAGAATGAAGTGATGGGAGTTTACTAATTTAGCTTCAGTCCTTTCGGTTTCTTTTCCTTTTCTTCTTCCATTTTCCGATTTCCTCTTCGTTAGTTGAGGCTGGGAAAGTGAGCAGGATATCGCCGTAATCGGACTCTTAGTTGGAGTTCCCTCCGTCGACGAGACTTGGAGGCGTTACGTGAGGTAATATTTGAACGCGAGCGGCACCACGGTGGGGTGCATGATTGGAGCCTTACCTTTGGGGCTTAACAATTTAGTAGAATAATGAAAACGTTGCAAATGGGGATAGTAGAACATAGGCTAGAGAATTGCGTTTAGAGAATGTAGGGTAAAAAGGGTTAGCGGGGAGTATGGATACTCTGAGAGTGGTTGATGAATATCTACCTTACTGGATTGCTTCCAGTCTCCAGAGTGGCTCATCTTCTACATCTTGAAGGTTTTCTTTTCTACCACCCTTGAACCGGATAACCAACGACTTTAATACTTTTGTTTACAAATTCTTCCATTTGCATTACACGCATTAATATAAGGGAAAGAGGAGGGAATTCGCACACCAATCCAACACCCTCCCTCCCCCTTTTTTCCCTATGTCTGAAACAAGCTTGATACCTCGAAATTCGCATGATTTTTGTCCGCTTTTGTAGGTTTGTATCTGAACTGGATAAGGGGATTCCCAGCGCTCCTCGCCTTCTGCCGTAGGGGGAAACTCCACGGAGGGATCGCGACTATCGACGTATTCGGCGATGTACCCGTGCAAGGAGTTGGGGGATTTCCCGTAGCAGCGTGGAAACGGCATCGACGCCGCTTTCCAGGACACGCGGCCGCAGTCGAACGACGCAACGGTCGGGATTCTCTATATTCACCTGAATTCGAAACCATTCATCGGCGGCGCGGATGGTAGCTTTCACGTGTTTCATATTCCTCTGTTTGTCATTAAAGACGTTATCATGGAGGATTAAACAGGCAATAAAGGGCGAAGGAGGGCCCTCAACATAACCTCGCATCGCCATCCCGTGCGAACTCTCACCGTAGTCGTCAAGCTTAAAATGCGGGAGCGTTCGACGGCGGAACCCCAACGGGATGCGCGCCCCCGTCGACGTTCTGCTGCCCGACAAACATGACAATCTGACAGATATTTGAATCCCTTCCCTTACCCCCCGCCTCCATCATCGCCATGAAGCTATTCGTACGGCGAACGTTGCTCAGCACCTTTTTCGCGGCTTCCTCAGAGCATTTATTCAACCCCCGGTTGATATCCACCTCGAAGGTTTGCAGGAGCGTCCGGCTGTTTGAAGCGGCGCCGATCTTCGCCACCTCGGTTTACGTTTTTTCTTTCAGGACGTCGTTCATTTGATGCAGTGTCACCTGCGAGGGCTAGAGAGGCGCACCGCCAGACATTGCAAGGATTCTAAAGAACGCTTTGGTCGTTCTCTTGGTTTCAGATTACCCGTTGAATGAAGGTTGCCGATGCAACGCGAGTGCTAATACACACTCGACCTCCCAACAACACAAACCACATGAAAATAGACAAAAAGATAGAAAAACGAGTAATATACTGCCTATCAGACGGGAAAAGTAAAATAAAGGCTCCTACTAACGCCCCTACAACACTTAAACGTAAATGCGCACAGGGTAAACCTAAAATACCCGGAATAAGGCATTAACTCCATTCGTCTGCCACGCAATCTGCAGCATATAAGCGAGCCGAAGTCTGTTTGAATTCTTTTGGTCATAAAAACTTATGAACCAATTTAAGTTTAGTTCCGACATTGGTCTGAGTGAAGTTGTTTGCAATATTTTAAATGCCTCTCTTGAGCGCCACAGAGAGAAATGCAGAGGTAATGTAACAAAGTGACCCAACGCATCACTGCGTGAATCAATTACAATAGAAAAAAGTATCAAAAACATTTAAAGCACAATAAATAGTCCTTTTTCCATTATATGAAAATGAATGCAAGACATACATAAAAATAAAACCACATATTCATGTCGAAGGACCTAGAGAAGGTGCAATACTAGTTAAAGTTTCCGATAATGATAATAATGAAACGCAATAGCAAGCTGACTCGTGTCGAAGTATCCACGCACCTTCCATTTACGAAATAAGGCGCATCGTTTTGATGACCTCCCCCCTCCCCCTCCCCCCTCTCCTCTCAGCCCTTCTTCCTAAAATGGCTGGAGATACGACACGCGCTACCAAACTATGTAGTATCATTAAAATGGTTGTCGCTACCTGTCTTCGCTGGGTACGGTTCCCATCAGTGTGTTAAATGAATATCGTGTTGAAGTGATCCTAGTCAGAGAAGTGGCGAAGCCTCGCTCCAGACAACCCTCCTAAACCCTTCAAACAACTCATTCTAAAACTTTGGAAACCATCACAACCCTCGTAAACGGCTATACAGAGATGTACCAGCAGGATAAAGCCAAAAATAATTAAAAAAAGAACTTGAATAGAACGGAGAACAAAAGGAGGCGACAAAACGCGAGCCATGCCGCGTGAAATATAAGAAAAGAACAAAAAGGAATAGAGGGAAACTCTCAAAGCCGTTGATAATTCTCCCGACCGTGCGTCTGCCCTTTTTTTTTTGTACCCTCACACTCCCATTGAGGATCTCTTTTTTTCCCGTTTTGTCGTGGTGGAGAGCGTGTGGGGCCGATTTCAAACCACGAAACCCACTCAATACACCGCCCGCACGTCATACGTTGGGATGAGCTGCGTAATGCTGCAGGCGAGCCGCCGATCCACGCAGAGAAACGCCCCGTGGTTGTTAAACTCCCCGCAATAATTCGGCGCGGAGAAAACGGTAATCAGGCGACGCCCCGCGAAGAAGTCGTAGCCCTCATCGACGACCTGATGGGCGCGGCAAACGAGGTCGAGATCGAACCGCCGCAGCGTCTCCTCCACGACATCGCTGCCAAACACCCAGGAAACGCCGCGATCGTTTTCCCCCCACCCCACCGCCCCCTCCTCCGCGGGATCCGCCCATAAAAGATCGCAAAGCAGTCCGCTATCGGCGACGTCGGTGGGTCGTAAAATACGGCGGATCTGATCCAGGCTGTGCAGCTCCGGGCTCAACCCGCCATGCATGCACAAAATCCGATCCCCCACCACCGCCGCCACGGGCATGCAGTTAAACGTATCCGTGAACCGCTTCCACAGCTTCACGCTGAAACGTCGTTTGCACTCGTCAAAAAAGCCGTAGATGCGGTTGATGCTGCTCGTTTCGTGATTCCCACGGAGCAGAAAAAAAGTCTCCGGGAAGAGCAGCTTATACGCCAAGAGCAGGCAGATCGTCTCGAGCGAGCGATCCCCCCGATCGACATAGTCGCCGAGGAATAAATAATTACTCGTGGGTGGGAAGCCGCCGAGGTCGAAGAGACGAAGGAGGTCGCTGAATTGCGCGTGAATATCCCCGCATAAATTCACCGGGGCGTTGATTTCGATGAGCATGGGCTGCGACATAAAAAGCCGGCGGGACTCCAGCACCAAGTAGGTGATTTCTTGCTCATCAAGGTCGCTTTTCGCTGAGTTCGCCCTCAAGGCGTTAGGGGAGATCGGGCGATACTGCGATTTTTTTGCCACCGCTTGCTCGTAGATGTCTAAACGAGACTGCCGCCCCTGTGAGGTATGCGCGGCGCTCGCGGCCACACTCCCATCTACCTCGTCCGCTTTACCATACATTGGCTGAACCAGCAGTTTACGCACGATTTGTTCTAAATCTACACTCATTTATATATATATATAGATATAGATATATATGTGTATTTTTTTTTTTGAGGGGGGGTTACTTCTAACGCTATGAGTTGTGTTATGGTATTTTCCCTTATATTATGCTTCGCGTTCCTTTTTTTCAAGAAGAGTTGACTCCACAAGATGTAATTTGTCCACAGTAAATACCTCTCGAAGTACGTTTGCACAATCACATTGAAACGAAAACCAAGTCCAAAGGCGAATCCAGATTAGCAAAGAGTATTGAAAAGCGTAGATAGGGTTCACAATAATAAGTTAAGCAAAAAAAAAAGCAGTACCAATGACATGTGATGACATATAGCAAAGTATGCACACATATGGTTTCCCTTTATATGTCGAACTTAGTTCATTAGATGACTTTTAATCATCTTTATATCGTTTTTTTGTTTTTGAACCAGCAACTCTCACAAATATCACAGGTGCTGTTTGAGGGGGAAGAGAATAATTGTAAAGTTAAAGAATTTGGGTGAAGAATATAGTCGCCAGTTCCTTCGTTTTCGTTTCTTTTGATGGTATCTACATCCATTTGATTGATGTGAATGCCTGCAACTTTTGAGCACCACGTTGAGCTATTGGTTGCATCTTTTCTTGCCCTACCATCATTAAGAGCGTCACTTCATGAACCCTTTTTAAATTTTCGGCACTTCAAAGTACAAGGTGAATAAAAACAATGTACGAACATCAATTCCTTCAAAAAAAATAAGTTTTCTATCTAACACATGAATAAACCAGAACTCGTCAAAAGAGGTTCTGTTAAACCATCCTCTAACATTTAGGGTTCTGGACGCCATAAGCCTGACCTCTTCTCTACATTCGGTAAGACGCATTTACTTTACAGCACTCCCAACGTGGAGCACTCATCACGCGTTGAAGCCTCCCACCTTGTTGATATCCCGCTGCACACGTTGTATCTATTTGAGCTTCAGACCCTTCCCCCCTCCTCTTTGCATCTTTACTTGCTGCAGAGGGGGCCGGAAAAAGAAATCGCTCACGAAAAGCAGACGCCGTGCGGGGAATCGCAGATGCGATAGAAGGAAACATGAAATGTAGTGAATCGCATACAAGAGAAAAGAAAAAGGATTCCTCGGCCTTTTATGAAGCATGAGCCCAGCTTCATACAGTCTACTCCTTTGAATCCCCACGTAGAACCTTTTTCAAGACGCAGACCAGCTACACCTACCCAAGAAGGGATTGTACAAAATGGTTACACTTTGTACTCATGAGCAGGATCTCACTTCTCGTCGTATCGGCGGTTGAATTGGTCTAACTGTACTTCTCAGTCGTTAAAAGACTTTTTTCGGTCTTTCTCTGCGCGAAGGGTCTCCTGGAAGGCCACCCCGCGCTGATAGTTATCTGGGGTCCACTCCGTTAGGGTGATGCTATCGAAGGCTCCGGGCTTTAGTACCGAGGTACCCAGAATCGCATGCAAGCACTCCTGAAAAGCCTGCGAGAGCGCGGGATACCCCGTCAAGCGGTTTGCGAGGTCATATACCGTTTGTCTTCTATGCAGTGCGAGTGTGGCAAGGTCGACAAGCGTGCTCGAACCCAGACCGACCGCGCGGAGGCCCAAAATATAGTGCGGCATTTCCTTTGAAACGAGAATCTTGATAAACCCATTGGTGCTCGTCGCGGCGACGCTGCGACTGACGAGGTCGTAGCCGTATTTACACGCGATGTAGGCGACATTCTTCTCCCGGCAGCCCTTCTCACCGAGCCCGACCGATGCGATCGCGAGCGAGAAAAAGCCTAGCTTCGGCGTGATGCTGAACGGGATCGGCGGACGCTGCAGCCGCGGGGAGTACATGTGTTCCACGGCAAGCTTCCCCATCGATTCCGCCACGCACACGCGGAAATTCTTGGCGGCGGCGTCGCCAATGACGTAGATATTCTTCGTATTCTCGCACAGCCCGAACTCATTCGCGACGAGCCTTCCATCTCGGGTTTTGACGGAGGTATTGGTGAGGCCGAGGCTGTTGTAGTTCGGCCATCGCCCGATGGCGAGGAGGGCCTGATCGACGTGGTGGGTAGTGAGCTCCTTCGTGTAGCGATTCATGAGGGTGTACTGGACGCCGCCGAGGGAGTTGTCGGTGTCGTCCTCCCAGAGCTGCAGGTCATACAGCCTGGAGTCGTGGTGGATGGTGACGCCCTCCGCCTCCATCTGCCGCTCCACGATCTCAACGACGTCGTCATCCTCCTCGGGGAGGATGCGGGCCTCCTTGTCGACGATCGCGACCGCCGTGCGGCCGAGCCCGGCGAGGATGCTGGCGAACTCGCAGCCGAGAACGCCGGCACCGACGATGACGAGCCGGCGCGGCAGCGGCAGCCGCATGACGTGGTCGGAGGTCACGACGAGACGGCCGTCCGTCGGCACGGCGGGGTGCCGCCGCGGGGTGGATCCCGTCGCGATCACGAAGTAATCCGCGGTGATCCGCCGGAAGGCCGTCGGGGCCTCCTCGGGACCCAGCCCCTTGCCGTGACACAACACCTCGTGGTTGCTCACGAAGCGCGCGTGGCCGGTCACAAAGCGGACGTCGCTGGCCTTCAGGGCCGTCGCGATTTGGGCCTCCCGGGTGCAGCTGACCTCGTCCATGGAGGCCCGCATCCGCGCCTCGTCCAGGCGGAGGTGGGACTCGAGCGACACCCCGTACAGCCGCCGCGCCGCCGCCCCACGCGCCTTGGAGAGGCCCGAGGAGAACTCCCACAACGTCTTGGAGTGGAGGGTGCCGCCCCAGAGGTCGTGCCCACCGAGACGGTTGCACTCGATCAGGCAGACTTTTTTTTGGAAGTCCACGGCGCGGAGGGCCGCGGCGATGCCACCGGGGCCGCCCCCAATCACACAGACGTCGTAGTGCGTGTGGTCCGGGACCGCCCGCCAGGCAATCTTGCGGAAGGTGCAGCCACGGCGCAGCATTTATTTTTTGAAGAAGAAGAAGAAGGCGAGGGAGAGGGGGGCTAAAAAACGCTGATGGTGGGCCTTTCCACTAAAGAAGGGGAAAGAGGCCCCCGAACAAAGATGGTGTGCAGTAATATTAACTCTAAATCTGTAGTGATTCCACACCCGAGACAGAAAGGGTAAAAAGAAAGACGATGAGGGAATACCGGAAATAGTTTTCGACCTGTTCCCCTTTAGTGTTGTCGATTACAATTGATGCGGTAAAATGATTAATAATAGCAATAACTGAGTCCACTGAGTTTTACAACAAAAAATATGAATGAGTTAATGTTATTGTTGTTTTGTATCAGTCTTAGATTGTATAGGATGATATGTATAAGCTAATTTACAGCAAATAATTTCTATAACACAATGTATATGTAATTGCATAGCGTTTTATCCATTAAACTATATCGAAGAGCAAATAGAAAGCTATTATATGCTGCCTTATAAAAAATGCATGCGTTTTGCAATACGATGAAGTATTTCTCGCTGGAAAGTCAAATTCTAAAATATCTCTATCAAAAGAGTCTTCAGAAAAACTTTCTCTTCTGTATTACTTTTAAAACTCAGAGGATTCTTATAGAGTAAGCATAATGCTCCGAACGACTAGATGCGAATTCATTGGGGCCTTGCCTAAGTAAGGGGTGATGTCCCCGCGTCGCTACTTAGAGTGAATCAAGCCAATCGAGGTGAGAATGAAGTCCCAAACGGTAGTCTTGAACTCGCATTAGGCTTTTGTATTCCTTTTCCAACTATGGGGCACTGGAGCTGCATATTAAATGATCACATGATGTCAGATTCGATGACGATCCCAAAGAAATGACAGTGATTTATTCGAAGGGATAGGAACAAATAGTTGCATATAACAGAACCCCCCCCCCCCCCTCTTATGTTATCATCAGCATTAAACAAACGAGAAAAATGATAGGTATGCGAATTAGATCTAAAAAGAAATGAGTTGAAAAAAGGGAAAAAAACACTACATCCCTTCACTTGCTCGCATCCATAGTATGTGTATTGACAAATTAGCACAACAGGGGGCATCGCTTCACATTGTCTGGCAGCGATACTGTTCGACGGGAACATTGACGCGCTTCCCTAGTCTCTTCCGCCAGCGTTCGCGCACAAATTGATGGTTTCAGATTCGATGCGGTGAATCCGCATTCGTGATACAAGCATCTGAACGCGGCTAAACATATCATCTCTATCCATCGCGCACGAATCTGTAGAGGAACTTCGCACCCGACGCCCAATATCATCTTGACTACCATGATACATATTTGCCCATGGAACCCTCTGAAATCCTTCTCTGCTACCCATACTTCCGCTCGAGTGAATAGATTTTAGAAGAATGCTGTTGATCGATTTTGTTCCTGCGACCTTATCCAAATCTTCTTCACTCCCTCGTTTCGGTATCGAGTTTCCGATAGTGTCGATGCCACTATGCGCCCTGCTCAAGGAACATACTTGATTTTCATCCGTCTGCATGTCATTATTAACAAAACTTTGTGTAATCTCTAGGAAGTTGACGATGCCACGACGGGAACCGAGAGATTCCGTGCAAGCCCCTTTTTGACTCTGATAATCAATATCTCTTCGTCTTTTCTCATGGAAAATTGGATTGGCATTGCCACAATCATCGGCAAGCGGCTCCAGAGCAGATATTATTGTGGGGGACGGCTCTTTTTCGAGGTTAGATACGCTTTCTCCAAGCTTACTTTGTGGTACGGTTACCGTAACCCCCATTTTTAATCTGTGGTAGGTGTAGGCTGAACTGTAAACTTACTTAGGTTATGATTTTTACTATATTCCTCTTCGTGAAAAAAAGAAATCCACTTATGAATAGACGAGGAATGAAATAAGTAGAAATTTACAATGGGGAAAAAAAGTCAAGAAAAAAAAGAGAAACAGATGACATCCTTCCCTTTTCATACCACACACATCTCTAGATTAAGCGGAATGCACATTGTTCTCTTCCATTTGCAGTTGCCCAAGTAGAATACGAATATAAAAAATGACCACAGCTGAAGATGGCAATCGTATTTTTTTTCCTGAAGGAGTCATACAATTTGAAGAACGACACACCAAAGAAGAAATGCTCTGAATCATTCACGACGTTGCTCTCCTTAAGAACGATAAAAAAAGCAAATCTAAAGCAACATCAAGAAAAGCAATAACGTATAGAGAATAAAGAATAAAAAATAAAAAATAGTTCATATCGGATTATTTGTCATTTAGATTATTCATACATAAATAGATAAAGAATCATATGAATTCTCTTTGTAGAAAAAGGAGGAATGAGTTGCTGAAGCTCATGACACTCCGCTGCTGCTGCAGTATTGACGTGTAGTTTGTACTTAGAAATTTACCTTCCTTCCTCCCATCTTAGGGGAGATGGAAGAGCTAGCTTTGCTTTTCATCAAATCCATAGAACTTGTCTATACCACTTCTCATGATGTGATAAAGTAACGTGGACTCCAATGAGAATGCACACCGCTTGGTAAAGCCTACTTCGACACATATACCTTAGCGTGCTGTGTTACGGCACATGGAGTGCATAATAAATGAAAACAGCAACACTTGTTTTCAAGAATGCGACGAAATCCGAAAAGAGATGATCATTACTCCTAAAGAAAAAAAATAGTAATCCCCTTTTCGCATCTCATGTATTGTTTCATCATAGAAAGAGCCACTCCGCCATGCAATAATCAAGTGGAGAGAAAGGATAGCCACGAAATGTATCGATCACAGAGGACAGATTTTGATTATCATACTTTGTTTTACATTGAGGTATGTGAGGCTATTTTTGATGACTAAGGCATACATGCAAATAACGCAAAGAACGAGCAGTGAAAAGAAGGTATCTCCACCAGCTAAAGGTGTGAGATTCACCGCGAAGGAGTTAAGGAGAGATAAGAAAGAAACACCTGATAAGAATTAGTTTAAAAGTATGCATCTAAAACACAATCAAATACTAGGTAATCTCATCAATTAATTTAGGGAAAGACATGCATAGAAAAAATAAGAAAAGACAACCCATGTTCATTATATAAAGGTATTTAGTTTAGATGTTTAGTCTACATAACAAATAACACAAAAGGGTTTCTGAATCCCTTTCTATTAAAACCTTTTCGTTTATTTTTCTAAGGGCTCACACTACAGTACTTTGTAAATTTCTGTACAAAAAGCTTCGTTGAACTATATTAAAAATATACCAAGCTGTGAAACAAAAAATGACACATACTTAATTCAGCTAAACAATAAAAAAAACATGCACATCAATTGGCAAAACACGAAAAGAGTGAACAATGTGATTCACAGCTCACAAGAAAAAATCAATCACAATAATGTGACTATATAAACCTATAAAACAACATCCGTGATGGAATTTTATGTTCTTTAGCAAGGCTTTTACCAACATCGAAAAGACAGCAGAAAGTTCAATTTTGTGGTGACTCCACAACATTGAAAGATTTTCAGTAAGATACTATTGAGATAAATTAAAATTGATACCATTATTTATACATCTATTGATAAGATAAAAAGGGAAAAATGATTATTGTAAAATTTACGAAATCTTTCATATATCAGACGTCTCGTGATTCACATGAAAGATACCTCCTGGTTCGTCAATGAATAGTTTGGTGGGAGAGAGGAGTGCGGGGATTAGACTGATGTTCAAACTTCGCCTGGCCTCCATTTTCTTTGTGGTCTGTTTGATAATAGGAGTCTGAAGTGCTTCGTTGAGGCTGCCCCACTGCCGTCGAATTGCCTGCCACTTCACTAGTACAATGTTTCGCCTGTCGGGTGTTCACTTCTGTGGGGGAGAAGTCCTCAGTATGGAAAGGGACATTGTCTTCAGTACACTGAATCCGGGGGGGGAAGTCGGTTGGTAACTCTACAATAGGATTCAGAGTTCTGGGAAAAGGAGTGGGGATATTTCTATTCTTACGACGTTCTGCCATTTTACGTCTCTTGAGTTTGAGCTTGCGCCTGGTATAAAAAGCGACTCCACAAATACACACCGCGATAACTAGGGCTATCACGAATACCACAAGCACACCAAACCAATCATGGGATTTTTTTTCATCGATAATGATCGGCGCCACATTGGTTGGGGCGTTCCTGTGGATAGTATTAAGCTTAAGAGTCGTTTTAGAAACTTCCATCGCGGTACCGCTCAACGTTGCCACAATCATAAACACAGAGCTATGGTCTGATACTAAATGCGTGTCCCAGAACTAGGATAGAATCTGAAATAACGGAGAACTGGCAATTTGGCAAAGCTATCGAATTAATATTGTGGATTACCTGATAGACTGATTAGCGAACTCCTTGGAGACAATGAATTTACCTTTCTGTTGTTACGTCAATCTGCAAGAACCTTAAGGATATTTACTTTGTAGGAAAATTCGGGCTCAATGCAAAGCGAGAACATAGGGATGATGATTATAATGGATAGGGGCGGCACAGCAAAACAGTTTCACATCTGAGACAGGTCTGTTTTTCTACATACCTCCTTAAAGGCAACAGGAACGATGCTTAAAAAAACATCTCTTATTTTTCTATGCTTTCGAAAACATCAGCCCTGCTGACAGGGGCGAGAGAAAGTGTGGTAGTGAAAAAGAAAATAAAGACTGGGTAACGGACAACTATCACCTCCACCCTTCCCCCAAACAGCCTCATCGCTATGCAGAAGTGCGGACGACGCGGTGCGTCGCATCCCTCGAAGCGGGTAGGATCGGTGCGGGAGTCGGTCGCAGCGTTGAGGGTGTGCTGGACGGCATGTTGGTACAAGCCCAGAACTTCTTGCCACGAGGAAGAGGCCTCCTCCTCCCTAGATGGTTTGTTGAACCTAAGCAAGTAGAAAAGATCAGAAGCCCCAACAACGGACAGCGAACCTTGAAAAGACCTGCTGTGCACAGGTCCTTGGAGCCGTCGACGTCTTTCCAGCACGGTAAAGGCAGTTGTCTAGACACCAGTATAGAGGGGAAACCATCCGAGGTTAAGTATCGTCTCTACTGTTTCAGCTTTGATCATATTAGGAGAGGGATGCAACTTCAGCACCCGTTCTTGCGCACATGATAAAACGCAGTAGCGAGATAGCTCCAACAGGACAAGTGCGTCTTGTCAACCCGGGGAAACAAATCGGCTTGAGCTATTGCGAAGCTCATGTCTGAGCTGACCAGAAGATTGACAGTTGGCGGGATCTGGGAATAGCAGTGTGACGCACGCGGCGAGCTGTTTTGGTGGCACCTTGCGCTGGGCGCCTTTGTGCAACTGGAGAGCGCACAATAAGCTGGAAAGAGCTGGATGCATTCTTCTTCTGAATTTATCACGTCTCCTGAGAGATGCAATGTGAGATCACGTGTCTTTAGATTCTGGAAAGCAGAGCTACATTAGTACTATACTCCATTCTAACTGATCAACATGCGAATAGTGGGATTACGAAAGGATCAAGGTTGAAGAAAAGATGAATACTTTCGAAAAGAATAAAAAATTGAAATGGCTTCTGTTGGCAAATCCATAAACAGGTGAGAATACATATCAGCCCTATGGATGATATCTCAGCAGAGAATTCTGCCTTCAAAAACCCAACCCGATGGACAGTACTGAGAAACCTTTATTTTCACAATACCTGTCGCCCCTAGTGCATAAACTAAGCAATAGCATGACCAGACATTTTGACGTTTGAGATTTTATCATTTCACAACCAAAGAGAAGAATCACTTTCTATTGAATCTGAACCATATAAAAACATGATTTTTTACAAACGATACACTTTTCATATATTTTCTTTCTGTCTCAACGCCACCTTAGACACTCGTAGCGAATGACCCATTTATTTTATTTCATGCGGAGACTCCCAAATGTGTTTCAAGAAGAATCTGGTATGATCTTTCTTATATTTTTGAGAAGCGGTGAAGAAAATAGCTGAGTCGCAGATATTTCCTTCACAATCTCAGCATCTGATCTCTATTCGGTCCTCTATTCAATTACTCTGGCAAATTCTTTTTCGAATAGGTCAAACACTTTTTATAATTTACTCCAGTTAAAAATGAAGCAACATTTGTATTGAAGATACAAACTTTGTCCTAGCATCGCTTTAAGTAGCTTCTGTGACATTCAAAGTATCATTTGTTCTATCTGGAAACAAACTTTCATAGTTTGGTGGTGTCCCAGTAGTATTGCGAAAACATTTCTGTCTCTGCTGAGTACCATTTTTGGTAGCTTTTTCAGTCCTTGTGAAAAGGGGTTCCAATAGGGGAAGACACGAGGTACTTGAAATCGATGAAGGTGATGAAGTGTTCGCCGAGACAAGGCCAGCCTGTACAAGTATACCAAGGCAGACGTCAAATGAAGCTTCCGCATCTGCTGCGGCATAATTTATCTGCATTTTTGAAAGCGATCCTAGAGCCCCACCCCACTTGCTTCTGATAATAGAATAATCCTTATCTAGTATTATGCCAGCAAACTTAGCACTCATTGCTTTAAGACTTTTACCCTTCCCCTCATTCTCTGAAACCTCATCTGGCTTATCAAGAGAGGTGCCACATAACTTTTTCTCATGATAATGCGCGGCCAATTCAACTAAATCTACGCATGGACTTAATATCAGACCTTCATAATCCCGTTGAAACTTAATTTTGTCACCATGAATACCAACTCCTACTTTAGCAACAGCATCATTTTTAAGAAGGGACACAATATTTTGGTATATCTTGGCCATGAGCTCGGCTGGATTCTTTTTTTCACCTATACGATAAGAAGGCCAGTCATGAGAAAGGAGAGCATAAGGATCATTACATTTGCCTTGAGTCACAATACAGAATAGATCGATGAACTTCACGACAAAAGTGACAAGTCGAGAACTTAGCTGTACTGTTGCCACTGGGCATTCAATTTGTTTTGGCCTAGAAGATGTTTGGTTGGTACCGATAGGGATTACCTTTTCATAGGACCACTCCATATCGAACCCAATAAAGCCACATTGGTCGCAGTCATCAATAAAGATCTTCCATAATCTTTCGTAGTCCTTCTTGTCCACGAGTTTCCACACAGGATCTATCACAAAGCGTTGACGAGGCACCTGCCCCATCTTAAGTATTTGGTAAATAAGCCGGAAATACTATAGGAACGTGAATAAATACTACTTTATCATTTGTCACAAACAATATTAGAATAAGAAGATGGAGCATGTTTTTGCAAAAAAAAAT